GCGGGAGCACCACCGCGCTCCCAAGCGGCACACTGTAGCAGTGCGCCACCGGGCTGGCCCCTTTTTGTTTGATTGATTCCTTCTCACTTAAAGCATTCTAGTGCTTACACATCCCTTCTTCAGGCCCTTCATCATCTGCCCAGAGCCCTCTGCTGAAATAGCAGGCACTTGTATTTCAATTTTGAGTCTGTGTGTTTGCCTGATTCAGTAGTTCATTACAGTTACTGTTAATTCTGTGTTTCTTCTCAGGCTCTGGACATTATCTTGGAGAAGATGAAGGCTTCCGGCTTTGACTTCTCTCAAGTCCAAGCCCTGTCTGGGGCAGGCCAGGTTCGTTTGCAGCAGCCCCATCTGCCATGTGAGAGCAGCTGTCTTGTCTGGTCAGGTGATGGCACCCCCTGGAGGGAAGGTGCTTGTTTTTGAGAGCCACTACACACATTTCGTGTTAGTAAAAATCCCTGCAGCTATTTCACCCTGGAGACTGTATATCTTGCCTCCTTGCAAAAGGATCTGAGAGTTCTTAGGATTAAGCATTATACAATACAGGACACTTGGTGAGGGAACTGAATAGTGGTTCTTTAAAGTGGATGGAGGAAGCATTTGACATGAATTTATTATGACTATTTGGGGGCACCAAAATTGCTTTTTTACTTCCTGGAAGTAAAATCAAAATAAGAAATGATACTAATGATAGTAGTTTTAGTAGTGGAAAGAATAGTAGTAGTAATATCAAGGAACACTGACTGAGCACTTAGTGCATACCACATACAACGCTGAGGACCCCACACGCATTATCTAACTTAATCCTCATAATGGTCCTACAGGGTGGTACCATGCAGTGGTTAGCACAGGAGCTCCGGGCGTGCCGCCTGGGCTTGACACCTGGGCTTGATCCCGGGCTCTGCCATTTACCTGCAGTGACCCGGAGCACGTCATCCAGCCTTCTGGTGCCTCTGTATCCTCATCTGTCATAGGGTTATTGTGAGTGTCAAATACACAGAACAGTGCCCAGCACATAATAAACCTTATTTAAGTTTTAGCCACTGTTCTTATTATCCTTGATGTTTACAGGAGGAAACTGAGACACAGAGATGTCACTTGCACAGGATCACAGAGCTTCTAGGGGGTGAAGTCAGGCCCTGAGTCCAGTCTCATCCTCCAGTCACTTTGCTGTGCCGGCATCACCTTGCTCCATGCTAGATTACATCTTCACTAGAGAATGCTTATTAATTTTTCTGATGATGCCTCTTCTGTCCCCTGACCTAACAGGAATTTATTCTGGTTCTTGTTAAACTGAACGAGATTCCCTGTGTGGTCTTGTTCACTTCTCACCTGAACCCCAGGCCTGGGCACCCATCTCCTTCCTGGACATACCCTGCTCCCGTGGCTG